AGCTACAGAAAAATAAGGGCATCTGTAATATTTAGAAATAAAGTAGGATCAAACAGCATTCACCATCACCTCTGGGCCTGGACCAGCCCTGAACAGCAGTGACCAGCCTGCACGGGGCCAGGGCCGGGGGGACCCTGGTGTTGCCATTGACATTGCAGGGGATTGGGGGCGAGTTCTGGGGTCTCCGTTTCTTCCTCCCTAAAAGAGAGTCTTGCAGATCAACGGTATTATCTAGACAGCTCCAGGAGCATGCAGGCCGTCCAGAAAATTCATCCATGGCTACTGTTAGTTTTATGTGATTCTTACCTCTTTAGTAGGAAAATCTGAAAGCCCAAGGAATCTTTTAACTGCCTAATTTTTATTTTGATTCTAACTTTATTTCTATTTTATTTGTGCCTGTATTTATATTATTAGGTTCTGTGTATAAATGATAAAATTTATGTATAATTCATAATTTCTATAATTTATTATTATAAAAATTTAAATTTTATCTCTACCCTTATTTTCTTTCTAGAGTTTGTTTCATGTATACGTATATCCATTGATATAATTCACAGGTTCTGTGTATAAATTATAAATTACATAATTTATAGTTCATTATTATAAAATTTATATTTTCTAATTTTATTTCTAGAATTTATTTCTATTATACGTATACAGGTGTTCATTTACATAATTGATAGGTGCTGTGTATAAATTACATAATTTATAATTATAAAAATTTCTATTCTAATTTTATTTCTAGAATTTATTTCTATTATATGTATACATATGTTCATTCATATAATTGATAGGTGCTGTGTATAAATTATAAGTTACATAATTTATAATTTAATTTATAATTATAAAATTTATTTCTTATTCTAATTTTATTTCTAGAATTTATCACTATTATATTTAAACATATATTCATTTACATAATGATAGGTTCTGTGTATAAATTATAATTTATATAATTTGTAATTTATTATTATGCAACTATCTTATTTCTTTTCTAATTTTGCTTGTATAATTTATTTCTATTTTATTTGTATATATTTATTTATATAGCTTATAAATTCTGTGTCTAAAGTATAAATGACATAATTTGTAACTTCTATAATTATATTTAATTTCTCTTCTAATTTTGTTTCTAAAGCTTATTTTTACTTATTTTTATATATTTATATAATTTATAAGTTCTGTATATAAATGATAAATTCTCTAGTTTGTAATTTCTGTAATTATTATTGCAGCTATATTTTTCTGTTCTAGTTCTCTTTTTTCTTAATTATTTATTTATTTATTATTTTTGGCTGCGTTGGGCCTTCGTTGCTGCGTGTGGGCTTTCTGTAGTTGCGGCGAGCGGGGGCTACTCTTCTTTGTGGTGCGCGGGCTTCTCATTGCGGTGGCTTCTCGTTGCGGTGCACGGGCTCTAGGCTCGCAGGCTTCAGTAGTTGTGGCTCACGGGCTCAGTAGTTGTGCTTTGTGGGCTCTAGAGCGCAGGCTCAGTAGTTGTGGTGCTCGGGCTTAGCTGCTCCGTGGCATGTGGGATCTTCCAGGACCAGGCCTCAAACCCATGTCGCCTGCATTGGCAGGTGGATTCTTAACCACTGCACCACCAGGGAAGCCCCGATCTATATTTTGTTTCTGTTCTAGTTTTGTTTCCAGTGTTTATTTCACTTCTATTTCCATTTGTATAATTTATAAGCTCCGTGTATAAATTGTGTAACTGATCATCTCTACAAATTATTATCAGTAGTTTATATCCTCATTGTGATGTCTACGTCAGTGTGCCACCCTGATGGAATTTAAGGGAAACCGGATTCGGGCCTCGTGCTATGCCCTTGTCACTTGCACAGTTCATGGTTGTGGAACCTCAGATTCGCAGTTAAGCGGGTTTGTGAGGCACGTGCAGCTGCACAGGCTCCCCAGGAGGAGCCGGCGCCCAGGGTGGCCTTGGGGACGTCCTGGGGCTTGTCCTCGGTCTCGGGAGGAGGGAACAGAACAGATGGCTGGGGGGGGAGGGTGCACGGCGGTGGGGGAGGGCGCACGGCAGGGAGTGTGTGTGCTGTGGGGATGACTCAGGCCCTGCGTCTGGCGGGGCTGCCTCACATCTGGAGGTGTCCCCTTCCGCATCTGGAGGTTGGAGGGGCCGCCTGGAAGCCGCAGAGGCGGTGCAGGCTGCCTCGGATGGGCTGGGCAACGGCAGCAGGAAGAGAAATGCCTGGGTGTCCCCCTCGGATGCCCGGCCCCTCCCCCAGCCCCACTGGGTCTGCTGTTCCTGGGTTTTCGTGCGGGACCCCGGGGGCTCAGCAGAGGGCTCTGAGTTGAGCCGTGACCTCTCCTCTAAGCGAGGCCACATCAGCGGTGCCCAGGAGCCCAGATGCGCGGGGAGCGGGGCGGGGCACGGGGCCCAGGTGGGCTGGGGAGGCTCCAGGCCCTGGACACGGAGCTACCAGGCAGACAGACAGACATTGCACACACACATGCACGCATGCTCACACACAGGGCACAGACACGCATACATACACAACACTCACGCTCGATGCATATTTGCACGCGCGCGTGCGCCCATGAGCACATACCTGCACCGCACACGCACCAGTGCACGTGGACGTGCATGTGCACAGGTACACGTGGGCACGCGTGCAGTTCACCCACATGCAGTGTGCACGCCCGCGGGTGCACGTGCTCACAGACACGCGCACACGAGTATACTCACGTGCACATCCGTACACAGACACACCCACACAGGAGCATGCAGGCGCACGCATCACGTGTAGCAACATCTTACGTTCAAGTGTGCTGCTGTTGGTTTCAACATTCCAAAGAGCCTTGTCTGCTTGTTCTTTCCAAATACCCGTCCGAAACGCAGCATCGTCCGCTCCTTGAATCGCTCTGTTTGGGGTTACTTGACACCCCACCCCCCACCCCCCGCCGTCAGGTGTGGAGGCGTCCCGATGGCAGGGGCGCTGAATATCTCAGGAAGGTCCCAGCGCCGTCGCTTCGGCAGAGGGAGCGTAGAGGGAGTGATAACGGTTGTGGGTCTCTAGGCAGACGTACAGGACCAGAGACGCGCATGTATGTGTAGGTTCTGCACCTGCCCGGGGGGCTTTTCGGGGCTGAACAAATCCCATCCTCCCCAGCCGCCCTGGCTACCGCGTGGACATCTGCCACATGCTGCAAGAACAGCTGAAACCGCACCTGTCCCTTCCGGGCTCTGAGCTGAAACCACACCTGTCCCTTCCGGGCTCTGAGATCCAGAAACCAGCGCCCCTCCCCCCGCGAGGGCTGGGGTCCGTCCAACGCAGGGCCTTCCCAGATGCTGCTGCTTCTGCTGCCTGTTGTTTTGTTTGTTTTTAATTTGGGGGCACATCTCATTGTTCATGTCGTATTTTTTATTGAAGTAGAGTTGATTTACAATATTAGTTTCAGGTGTACAGCAAAGTGATTCAGTTATATATATACATATATACATACACATAGCAGATTCTTTTCCCATATAAGTTATTACAAGATATTGAATAGAGTTCTCTGTGCTCTACAGTAGGTCCTTGTTATTTATCTATTGTATATATAGTCATGTGTATCTGATAATCCCATACTCCTAATTTATCTGTCCCCCCTCCCTTTCCCCTTTGGTAACCGTAAGTTTGTTTTCTATGTCTGTGAGTCTGTTTCTGCTTTGTAGATAGATTCATTTGTGTCGTAGTTTAGATTCCACATATAAGTGATATCATAGGGTATTTGTCTTTCCCTGTCTGACTTTCTTCCCTTAGTATGACAATCTCTAGGTCCATCCATGGTGCTGCAAATGGCATGATTTCATTCTTTTTTACCTGCCTGCCTGTTCTTAATACACACATGGAAAATTCGCACACACACAAATACACTTCCCAAACTACACGTAGACACACTTACACATGGGCACACGCCCAAACTACGCACGTGCACATACAAAACCCTACATATACACTTACACTACACACACCACAAATACACACATGCCAACTGCACTTAGACACACACATGTGCACACACACAGCGCACACACATACCTACACAAATACACACATACAAACCACCCACATACCTACACACAAAACCCCATGGATCCCAAACCACTCAGTAAACGGACAAGCACACACACACCCAGTCGCTCACACACATAGCTGCACACACACAGACACACACACACGAGAGAGAGAGAGAGAGAGAGAGAGAGTTACGGGCTGACACCTGTCTGTGAGACATTCAGGGGCACTGAACACATTGCAACCTTCTTGAGGCCCCCGGGGATGAAGGTGGCTTGTTACACGCCCAGCACTTCCTGTCACGGGACACGTGTGCTCTTTGCTTCTGCCCCTGCAGGACGATCCTCCGACCCGCTGTCACCCTCCTTTCCGCTGACCGGCCGGTCCAAGTGGACTGTTCCCCAATTCCCTAACTGTGCTTTCCTTCAATCCATCATTAATTGGATAGAAATAGAAATAGTATTGAAATTGCTTCAGTAAAGCGGTAGCAACAGGATAGAAGAACCGTGGAATTAAAGGCAGTTTTCCCCCTTCTCTGGGATCACAGGAAATTTAAAAGAAAATTTACCTTTTTCTGGGTTGTCTGGTGTGTCTACGAGAAGTACATTTTGGTCGCGTAATTACAGAGATGTTGCTAATCCAAGGGGTTTTTCTCTCCATGTTTTTTCTCCATCATGTATTGGAAATTGTTACTCGCCTATTTCAAAACACCTGCTTTTTTAGACTAATGCACGTGCAGAATTATCATGGTTTCCCACCAACTGAATTGCTGCTAAACTCTAAGGTTGTCCGTAATGTAAAACATAAGCTGACGTATTCTTACGTTTACGCACGAGAGTGAGTATTTCAAATGAGAAATCACAGCATGTGATGCATTTTCAAAGCCGCCAGACATCTCAAAATCATGCCCTTTTTTAATTGTCTTCTTAATTTCCCAATTTACTTTTATTTGACTTATTTCTAATTGGACTCTTTTTCTTTTAGGCCAAGATTTTGATTTATCGCATGCCCTTGATGGTGAGTAACATTAAAACATTTTGTAAACTACAGGGGATATTTTATTGGACTATAGTAAATCTTTTGGAATATGTCTTACTGTGATAACTAGACTCACGTAGGACAAGGAAAATCAAGATGCCCTTGTCAGGGTAAATAAATCTTTTTTGGTGGAATAATTTCCACGCTCTGTGGTGGTGAATGAATGCCACGTGGGGTTGCCATGTGCTTGGGGAAGGGGCTGGTCCCCCGTGGGCTGGTCCCCCGTGTGCTCACTGATTCCATCCCTTGGCTGGTGGCTGCATGACCCCAGTCTCTGCCTCTGCCTCACGTGCCTCTATGTTTTCCCATTTCCTTCTGATAAAGGCACTCGTCTCTATGGGTCTGTGCTAATCCACTGTGACCACATATTAACCAGTGTTATCTGCCAAGACACTGTTTCCAAATAAGGTCACGTTCTGAGGTTCCCAGTGGATGTGAATTTGGGAGCCCAGTATTCAACTGAAGACATCTTTTTTTTTTTTTTAATTGGAGTACAGTTGCTTTACAACGTTGTGTTAGTTTCTGCGGTACAGCAAAGTGAATCGGTCATACATATACATACATCCCCTCTTTTTTGGATTTCCTTCCCACTTAGGTCACCACAGAGCACTGAGTAGAGCTCCCTGTGCTCTACAGTAGGTCCTCGTCAGTTACCTAGTTTATACATAGTACTGTATGTATGTCAGGGCCCCAAGATATCTTTTTAACTCCTGGGGTCCGATGCAGAGGTGTGAGTCAAAACCGTGAGGGCGGTAATATTCCCAAAAGCCAGCGGGGGTTAAGTCTTATTCTTGATGATGGAACCCTCACTGGCTGGTGGGGAGTGAATGCCGGGGCGGTGTCTGTGGTCCTAATGGCCTCAGCCCACACTGCCTTGGTTGCCTGGGGGTCCCAAGGAGCAAAAGGTGTGCTACCCGTAGTGAACATGCACAGCCTTTGAGCCGAGGGTCCCGTGTCCCTCCTTCTCCCACACAGGTCCCAGGCTCTCCCTCGTGTCCTGTGTTCTCCCGGGTTCCTCTTTCACTCACAGCCCCCCCACTTGGCGTCATGAGGTGGGAGGGGTCCTTGGTCTCGGTGGCAGCCATGGTCGACGTCATCCTATGTTCCTGTTGCCGTGGGTCCTCAGGGGCTCAGACTCGTCCTCCAGTGCTTGGCCACTGCCTGAACTGTCAGGAAAAAACGATGCTTCAAACGTTTTCTGAGTCTCTTTAAGGAAAACAGAACAGTGTCGGGAGTTGCTTTCTGTTTCCCAGCTGCAAGTTTTACTGACAGAAATGTCTTTTCTCTTTAGACAAGAAATCCACTCCGGCCCCACCAAAAAAAGCCACCGGTAAGAAGCAAAGGTGCCCAGCATGCAAACACAGCCGAGAAAATCGTTGTCGTGTGCCCCAGTTTTCCCAAGAGCTGGGTGAGACGTAGTCAGCGATTCACCGGCTCTGGATCCAGCCTGGTTAATATTTCAATTATGCTGTGATGCTGGTGCTTTCAAGTCCACAGCGGCTGTAAGAGAACGGACGCTGACACTTTGGCGAGATGCGTTTGGGTCCCCTGGGAGGCATCTCAGGACGCCTTTTTCCTGAGTGTCTGTCCCTGGTTTTGGATACTCATTTCTTGGGAGGAACAGTTTTAGGACCCTGGGACCCTCATATAACCCATGAGCAAACTTCGATCTCAGCCTCTAGGAGGAGCATACTAGCTGTCACTCACCCTTTCCAATAAAAGTCAGGAATCAGACCGATCATGGAATTGACCAAGAGTCAGATTCATTGGTGGTTAGTCACCCACAGTAAAATCGATGCCCAGAGCTACAGAGCTCTTATCACTGATTTTTTAAAAAATGTGATAGCTCTCTTCAAATGTTGGGCTTCTCATCTAGAAGGACATCTTATGATGAAAAAGGTAGCCTTGTTCAGAGCCAGGTCCTTGACCTGTGCAGGCACACGGAGGATGCTGGGCCAGTCCATTGAACGATGGACTTTGTACCGTCACGCGCTCCCTGGGGCAGCAACGGTTCGTGATGGGTCAGTACATCGTGTTGGGTGGATACACAAGCTCACCTAGATGTTGCTGGGACTTGCAAAGAGTCCTTAAAACTAAGAAGGCAACCTCAGAAGCCATCAGGAGTTGTCACACCATTTTGTCAAGCACACCTGGGGCAGTTGAATCATGTTCTTGGTGGGCACAAGCCCAGATCTGGCCACAGACTTCCCCCCTTATCTCGTAGTATCTACCTTGCGGAAGTTGTTGGCAACTTGGTAGGCGATGATGCTAGGATGAACAGTCCCCGGGGAAGAATTGTCTGCAGGCGGAAGTCGGAATTTCAACTCGGTCCATGGGGCGTACTTGATTTATAAGTTACTTCCATTGTTTTGGTTTGGTTTTGCCTTTTATTCCTTTCCTTGGAGAGAAGGGTGATGTGGATATGGTCAGGAATTTGCTTTTTCTGTTGAGACGTTGGTCAGACTGATATTCAGGAAAGTGTTTTGAGATGTGGAGATGCAGTGTTTCCTCCATCTATTTAGGAAGTCATTTCTGTTCCTCGTTTGACCCAGAACTTCAGTATTAACTGTTTTTCTCCTTTAGATGATAACTTCAATTTAGAAGACGCCCTTGGTGGAGGGAACAGTAAGTAGTACCTCTTAAATCTCCGATGTGTCTGACTTGCTTATTTATCATCGTCTCTTTTAAATAAGTCGAATTAGTTTTTACCACGAAAACCTAAGGAATAGATGTATTGTTTGTTGTGGTTGAGTTTTTTTGGCTTTTATCCGTATGCCTGCTTTTATTTTAAAGCTCTTACAGTCTTTGGGGTGATATAAGACAAACTGAATATCCTTGCCAGGGCTGGCCTCGTGGGTGCGTAGGGTCACACAGGGCTCCACACTCAGAAGGGCTTCCCTCCTTGGTGGACTGCTCTGTGGCCGCCATATTGAATTCCTTAGTACAGTTTAAGCAAGGGGCTCTGCATTCTCATTTAAGCAAGGGGCTCTGCATTCTCATTTAAGCAAGGGACTCTGCATTCTCATTTTGCCCTGGGCTCCACAAACTCTGTAGCTGGTCCAGCCGTCTGCTTTATTTTCTGTTGGAAATACATGAATTTAAGTATTGCAGCTGGATGATGATGGAAGGAAATCCACAGGTGCCTGTGTGTATGGGTATCCCCATCATGACAAAGTACTTGCCCCGCCATGACAAAGGACATGCTTCCATTTCTAACTGTTTAGCAAACCATCTGTGTGCAAATGCACGTTTTGTTGTTTTGACTGCAAAGTGCTCATAATTGCAGCTCCCCTCTTTTACAGATGACCCAGTGACACCCGAAGCACCCAAGCCAAAACCTAATCCAAACCCCAACCAGCCCGGCTCTTCTGGTAAGACCTTCTCGCCCCTGTGGGTCCTTACGTGTTTTTCAGAGTACAGCGATTTCCATGTCAGCTGAAAGGAGGTAATTTCAGGTTTAGCACGATCTTACTGTGAACTCTCTGTGCAAGGTAATGCCAATCTTCCAGTCGTGGAAAACCGTTTTCAAAAAGATATTTTTGGTTCGGGTTTGATTTTTAGTTTGCGGATTTAACTTCCAAGGTTTTAATGGAAACTTTAAAAAATTAAATGTAAGATTTTAAATATAGAGAATCAATATGGAGAAAAGTATCAGCTTGTTCTTTCCCTTTAGAGAAGCTCTTGGTGGTTTTTTTTTTTTTTTAAAGGTTTTTGCCGCCTTTTTTCGGACACATCATAGTATTCTCTGAGTATTTGACCCACATCAGTGTTCTGAGTTGAATGGCTGTTGAAACTTCAGATTTTGAGTTGGCTTTTTTGATTGTTTATACATTTGTTTAATTTTTAATGCAGAAAAGTAGAAATACTGTCCATCCTCTACCACAGTGAAGATGGTTATTCTCCCTAGTATTTTATATCAATTTAAATGAAACAACTGTTAAGTAAAACTGTCAGTCTTTTATTCACACTGTGTCATAACATTATGTTTTGCTTATTAGTATTCCATAAGCATTTTCTTATGTCATTTAATAATTTTTATCATATGACTTTTCTTGGCAGTTATATACTGTCATAACTAATCCCTAATTTTGAAAATGTTATGTTTCTCTGCTATTTTAGAAGTATGAGTTGCAAAGCAAGTTGAAGCCATCTTCATATGCTTTCTTATGGTTTTCTTTCTTTTTTTTTTAATAAATAAATTATTTTATTTATTTATTTATTTTTGGCTGCGTTGGGTCTTCGTTGCGGTGCATGCGCTTCTCATTGCGGTGGCTTCGCTTGTTGCGGAGCACGGGCTCTATGCACGCGGGCTCAGTAGTTGTGGCTCACGGGCTCTAGGTGCGCGGGCTCGGTAGTCGTGGCGCACAGGCTTAGTTGCTCCGCAGCATGTGGGATCTTCCCAGACCAGGGCTCGAACCCGTGTCGCCTGCATTGGCAGGTGGATTCTTAACCACTGCGCCACTGGGGAAGTCCAGTAATTGTATCTTTGAAAGATTCCTTCCATAGAGTAGTACGTTTATGGGGTTCCCCGCCACCCCATGTCTGCTTTTGATTCTGATATGTTTCCCTTCACCCCAAGACATCAAGACACTCCCGACAGTTCTGATGTGAGACATGATGCTGTCTTTTTCCTTCTAGGTGGCTTTTCGGATTCGGACCTTACTGATGGGACTTCAGATGGAGGTAGGGTTCCCCTTCTTTTTTTGTCTTTCTCTTTTTTTTTTTTTTCAATCGTTTGGCTGCGCCGTGCGGCATGTGGGATCTTAGTTCCCCGACCAGGGATTGAACCCACACCAGGAAGGGCGGAGTGTTAACCACTGGGCCGCCAGGGAAGTCCCTCAGTTTTTTATTTTATATTGGAGTAGAGGTGATAATGTTTTGTTAGCTTCAGGTGTAGAGCAAAGTGAGTCAGTTCTACATAGACGCGTCTATTCTTTTTCAAATTCTTTTCCTGTATAGGTTATTACAGAATATTGAGCAGAGTTCCCTGTGCTCTACAGTAGGTCCTTTTTCCACCTCTGTCTTTAAAATCTTAGGTCAATGTGGAGGCAAAGCAGTAATTAAATATAATAAATAAATAAGTATAAAATTAATATATGTTTAGAATAGTTATAACTTGATGAAATATATAGTCATTTTTATGTATTTATGTATGTATAAATGATAGTATATACGTTTGTTACATATAAATGTATTTTACTATATTCATCTATTATGCATATGTAATCTAAAATAGGTATATGTGTAGTATATGTGTATGTAATATATAATGCATAGCCAGACACAAGGTAAAGATCTTCTCCCCCAGGATTCCTTTGGGTCACCCTTGGGAGGTGGGGAAAGATTGTGTGTCAGCCTTGAATTTGGGCGTCACTCTTGGCCCACAGCCTCCTAGGAGGACTGCAAACTCGGAGCCTCAGGACCTCCACCTGCAGGGAAGCTCCTTCCATGGCAGTTAACTCCAGCTTCCCCCCCAGGTAGAAAACCCTGGCTTCAGCCCCCAGTTTGGGAAATCTTTTATTTCTAACTCTTCCATCGAGCTCTGGTTCTTGTTTGTTTCTTGGAGAATTGAGCGTAAACGGTGAATAATAAGAATAAGATGATGTGAAGATTTCCCAGGAGGTGACCCATGGCTCTGACATCCTTGGGGAGGGACTTTCATGCTCTGATGTCTCCCCACACTCCCGCCCTGACCCGTGTTCTTCCCCCTGCATGTAAAATCTGTTCATTCTCCCTTCTCTTTTTAAGCATTTAGGTTATACCAGTTTCTTTTTTTTTTTTAATAAAAAAATAACATTTTTATTTGTTAACTGCCTGATACTCCTTAATACTTTTTTTTGAGTTTATCGCGGATTTACAGTATTGTATAAGTTTCAGGTGTATGACGTAGTGATTCAGTATTTTTCTAGGTTGTACTCCATTTAAAGTTATTATAAGATATTGGCTCTATTCCCTGTGTTGTACAATCTATCCTTGTAGCTTATTGATTTTATATATAGTAGTTTGTACCTCTTAATCCCCTCCCCCTATTTTGCCCGTCCCCCTGGGCACAGGCTGGAAACCACTCCTCCCTACTGGGAACCACTCGTTTGTTCTTATATCTGTGAGGCTGCTTCTTTTTTGTTATTTTCACTAGTTTGTTGTGATTTTTAGATTCTGCACCAGTTTCTTGTACATATATTTACGCTTTGATATTGGATGTCTTCCATGTGGTTCCCTTAAGGTGGTTTCTAAGAAGTAGGGTTTCTGAAAGGAGTTCCCACTTTTACATCCCTTCGTGGGTTGCTAAATTGCTTTCCAGAATGGCTGGGATCGTTGATGGTCCCACTGGTAAGAGGACCATGTAAGAGATTGCTGGCTTCATTCCTCTCTGGCCTGCCTTAAATGTTACTGGAAACATTTTTGCTTTGAATCCTTGCTTGATGGAGTGCCATTGATTGACATCAGTGGATGAACCAGTCATTGGTTCATCTGTTATAAGTCTGTTTCTATCAGTCACGCCCTTAAGGTGACATGCTTTTTTATCATCTCGTTTGCCTTCTACCGGGAATGTCCCTACCTCCCCTCTTGAGCTCACATACCTTTCAGAGTAAACCCCTTCTACCCTGGTCCCCAAAGTCATGTCTACAGTGGCTAGCTGTCTACCTTCTAAATTGGTTTTCCGTTTAAATTTACATCTCTAGGTGCTGTACAAGATCGCCCCACTTTGAGGAGTGTAACAGACAGGATTCTAGTTTGATACCCATGTAACGTGCTCTTACCCACTGAATGTAACAGGCCGTATGCTGGCTCTGTAGCTGCGTAACATGCAGCCCCTCCTTTGTAGCAGGCAGTGTTGCTCCATAGCCATGTAACATGCCGTGCCTGTGTGACTATACTGTAAAGACACACTGGGAGTGACTGGCTGACATTAAACAAAGCTAAAGGCACCCTCACAAGTGTACAGTCCACTGGGCGGATTCCTGGTTTGTGCACTGATAATTGTACAAGCATCAGCTTAACATCAAGTATCAGGAATTGCCTGGCGGTCCAGTGGTTAGGACTCTTCGCTTTCACTGCCGAGGGCGCGGGTTCAGTCCCTGGTCGGGGAGCTAAGATCCACAAGCTGAGTAGTGTGGGCAAAAAGAAAAAACAAAATGAGACAAACAACAACAAAAACATCGAGTATCCATTGGCATTAAATGTGGAAAAAGTAGAGGGGGTGGTGAAGTGGTACCCCTTAGCCCCGGGGAAAGCACGAACGAAGACCATACCCAGAGGTGGTGGGTCCATGGATAGCACATGGCTGACAACCACCCCTAGTGAGACTGGGGGGCCTGAGAGTTAACAGGAATGTGCCTGGGATGACCCCATAGCCATGTGAGGGTCTCAGGTGGGCTCTGAGGCCCTTGCTGGGTTTCTCCCCGAATCCCTGGGGGACTTCGAAGACTCAGTGGGTCTCCTGGGGCCCACCATGGGGCCAGGGGGTTGAGTCAGGTGCCAAGCCTGGATTTCAGGGACACGGGAGCAAGACAGGTGATACCGCCCGCAGAACGAGGACAGCCCCTCCCAGCAGTGGAAAGGGACACCCTGATATTAATGGCCTCGTCAGTCCCACGGTCATTTCTCTTAAGGAACCTTCACAACCCAGGGTCAGAGGAGCTGGTCCTTGGTAGGAGTTTTCGGTTACCGAACGTCTTCCCAGCGCCATTTGTCACCAAGCCTCGTTCCTCTCTTACAGGAGGCGGTGATGGCGGCAACCAGAGGCCTGGAGGGGCGGAGCAGGGTACGTACCCCTGGTTCCTGATGTCCTGGGTTCCTCACGTGTACTGTTGAGGAAAGCAGGAGCCAGTGGCCACAGCCTCACTTTTAGTATTTGCAGCGTCATCTGAAAGATACTGGAACGAAGAATGGTTCTCTGGACACGCGTTCCAAGGGGGCTCAGCAGAAACACAGGCAGACCCCGGAGATCCTGGGACTTCAGGTCCAGACCACCGCAATCAAGCGAATATCGCGATACAGCAAGTCACACGAAATGTATGGCTCCCCAGCGCATCTCAAAGTGATGTTTACACGACACTGTAGTCTGTGCAGTGGCATGATGGCCACGAGAAAACACCACGTGCGGGCCTAAATTTATAAAACTTTTTATTGCTTAAAAAATGCTCACCACCCTCTGAGCCTTCTGCGAGTCATAGGAGTAACATCAGAGATCACGGATGCCGTCACAAACAGAATCATAATGAAAAACTTGAAATAGTAGAAGAATTACCAAAATGTGATACAAAGACGTGAGGTGGGCAAATGCTGTTGGAAAAATGGCGCCGATAGACTTGCCTGGAGTAGGGTGGCCACAAACCTTCAATTTGTTAAAAAAATAAAAACAGGGCTTCCCTGGTGGCGCAGTGGTTGAGAGTCCGCCTGCCGATGCAGGGGACGCGGGTTCGTGCCCCGGTCCGGGAGGATCCCACGTGCCGTGGAGCGGCTGGGCCCGTGAGCCATGGCCGCTGAGCCTGCGCGTCCGGAGCCTGTGCTCCGCAACGGGAGAGGCCACAACAGTGAGAGGCCCGCATACCGCCAAAAAAACCCCCAAAAACAAAAAAACCCACAGTGTCTGTGAAGCGCACTAGCTTGAGGTCTACCTGCTACCGACGGGACCTGCATTTTAAGTTCAGTCGCCCTCCCAAGGTGCCCTAAGAAGGAACGCCACCCATATTACCCAGGGTCCTCCAGAGAAACGGGACCACTAGGATGTATAGAGATGAGTAGAAAGACACTTATAGTAAGGAGTTGGCCCACGTAGTTACGGAGGCTGAGAAGGGCCTCGATCTGCTGTCTGCACGCCGGACACTCAGGGAAGTGGCCAGTCAGTCCCCATGCAAAACACTGACAACCAGGACAGCGAATGGCGTAGGTCCCAGTCTGAGTCCAAAATCCCAAGAAGCAGGATCACCGATGTCCGAGGGCGGGAGAAGACAGACGTGCCAGCTCAGGCAGAGAGCAAATTGTCCCTTTTTGATCTAATCAGACCCTCAATGGATTGAACGATGCCCGTCCACGTTGGTGAGGGCTTTTACCCAGGCTAACGGGTTCGAATGTTATTGTTTCTGGAGACGGCCACATGGACACATCCAGAAATAAAGTGTTCCCAGCTGCCTAGCAGGCCCTGGCCAGTCCAGCTGACACATACGATGAACCATCCATCACACCGTCCTCCTTTTTATTCACGGGGGAGGATGTCTTGTGCACCTGCCGTGTCAAGAAACAGCTGTAGATGTGGGACGGATGCAGGTAGTTTTAGAATTCTTGGTGGGGGGTGGAAACCCCGTCACCGTAGAGCACATGAGACTAACAAAGAGGTGGGCGACTTTGATTTTTCAGAAGGTACATGAAGAGACGGCCATTTGGCTGCTTGAGGTCACACGGCCTCTGAATGGTCCCCGCTGGGCCCCCTTCCACTGTGGATTTATCACCCACCTGAGACCTTCCTCACTGAGCTGGGAGGACAGCTGAGCTGGTCCTAGGGGTGGGGAAGAGATGGGGTTTGGCATCCCGCTGGGAGCCAGTTCTTGGATTGGAAACAGCTCGCGTAGTAAAATGAATTCCGACGTGGCTTCGGAGTGACGGGCCCTCCGTGGTTACCGGAGGCCCCGCCTCTCAGGCCTCAGCCCCACCCTCTTCCTCCGGGCAGGGCCGCCAGCCCCCGGCCCCGTGGTCCGTCCGCGAGGGTTACGTGTTTGCCTGTCATGGTGTCCTGTGTTTCCTTCCACAGCCGACTCCCCGGGGGTGGTCCCTGGGATCATCGGTGCCGTCGCAGTCGCCGTGGCCGGGGCCATCTCCAGCTTCATCGCCTACCAGAAGAAGAAGCTGTGCTTCAGAGAGAACGGTAAGGCGTTCACCGCCGCGTCCTTTCCGTGGGGCCTTGCTACTTTGAAAAGCGTGCTTTCTTTTAAAAAAAAAAGAACTAAAAAGCAGAACTCAGGTTGGCACGAAACACGTGGAAGGCGGCCGAGGGGGTCCTGAAGTGGCTAGAAAACTGGGATCTGACTGTGTGGCTTTGACCCCAGCGTCTCCTGCATTTAGCCGTGTGAGCTGGTGCAAGTTACTAACCATTCCATTTTGGGGGGCGGGCGTCCCCAGAACGAGGAGAGAGGATAGTCTGCGCTTTACAATTTTTGTGAAGGTCAATAGGTCATGTGTGAAGGTCAGTAAGGTCATGTGTGAAGGTCAATAAGGTCATGTGTGAAAGTCTTGACAGGTTGCCTGGGAGAGAGCGAGTGTTGAAGAAATGTTAGTTCTTACAATTCATTCATTGTTATTTACATGGACTGCCGAATACCACCGTTACCAGCACAGAGATCGGAATTCCATCACTGGGCATTTTGGGACTTTGTACTCAAATGCTAAGTTACTTAGGATTCGTCCTGACATCAGTGAGTTCTACTGTTCTGAGCACAGTTTATGTTTGTGCATCTCTGGAAGGCTCTGTCTAGGTCTTGCTTTGAGAACCAGTGAGGGCTGGGTTGCGATGTTTGTGGTGGCCCCATGGACCGTGGCTGCCCATCCTCCATGGAGGAGGCTTGTGGTATCTGAACTTCCCTTCTGTGAATGACCCTAAGTCCTTATCCATACTTTGCCGTTGGCCATTGGTGTCATCTGCCTAAAGGACCCTTTCCTGAGGGTTCTTGGGAAATTCCCAGAAGACTTGATGGAGGCCAAGTTACCCTCTAGGGATGGAGTTTAGCCTTCATCTTCCATCATTCCAGATTTCTAGGTTCACAAACATTATTTATAGCCTGAAATTAAAAGCCTGACACAGCGTTTGGATTCAGACACCTAAAATAAGAGGCCATTTTTGTATCCCTCTGCTAGCAGTGGAGGGTAAGGGTGCCTGAGTGCATCTTATTTCCCTCATGTGAGTGGGTCGCCTTCCATCTGGCCGCACTCAGGAAAGTGTGGTTGGCTGGCGGAATGGCGGGCGTCCAGCAATGCTCAAATGGACAGATGACCAAGTTCCAGGAGATACTTATAAAAGATCTACAGTTAGAACCGAGTGGGGCCTCAAGATCATCCTTTCCGATCCGTGTTTACAAAGACGCAGAGTCGAAAGCAGACCTTTTGCTTCTCCTAGAAAGAGCAAAGACTTAAAAGACTAGGGATTCGATAGAAGTGAATTTCTGTTTCCTTTTCAATCACACTTTCCGCTTTCTCTGAAGATGCTCAAACTCAGAGCTTGACGCTCAGCCAGGAGAGGAAGGTGCTCGCTAGGCAAGATGCACAGGAAGTCCTGGCCCCAAGATTTTCTGAAAATCTTCAGGTGAACCCCAGTTGGACTCTGGAATTACAAAGCATTTCTGTTACCGTGTGAATGGGATATATGACTCTCTGGATGTTCATATGTCAAGACACAGGGATTTGAGGAAACACCCAAGAGTCTTAATAGACTTGACATCATCTGACATTTGGAAAAGGGATTCAGAAATTGGGAAAACCAAGCGTTCTGCATCCCACCCTACCCCACCCCTGGGTCTTGGTCTTGGGCTCAGGCACTCTTCCCCCATTGCAGGGGGAAGGGGTGGGCATGGAAACGGAAAGCTTCCCGGGTAGAAAGATTTGAACGTACGATTTTCAAAACCAAAAGCGAACTTTCTGAAGAACTGGCTCAGAGCAGGCGAGGATTCAACTTTTGCTTCCGGAGAGGCTGGCTACATTCATTCCCCTAGAATATGTCCTTTAGTCTGTCTTCGTAGGCTGAATTAACATTAGGTATGACTTTTAAAATTTTTGATTTGCTTTGTGGTTTTCACAGGTCTATGGTCTTGGGCTGATGTAGATGCACAAAGAAAAAGGAAAAAAAAAGGGGGGGTGAACCTTCATGAGGGAAGGGAGCGGGTATTTCTGATTTCAGTAATTAAGCACTTTTGTCTCCAGCTGTAAAGTGTCCAGCATCGACACAAAGAAATTTAGGTCCCTTTTCTCACATAAGCACCGAGTCTAATGCAAACAGTGAGCATCTTTCTGACTACGTGGGTAGATATTGCGGTTTATAGACCTGCCTTATAAAATGAATTTAGCGTTTGTTGTCAGTTACGTGTTTTTACGGACGGAGATGGCCAGGTATCGGGTACATGACGATGCTAGACCCTTTCAGGTCCGTGCAGGACTATGTTATAGGTTTTATTTCTGGGGTGGTTATTTTAAGGTGTGCAGTTGTGAGCTTGGAGATTTCGTCAGGAGGATGTGGCTACAGCGTGTACAGTGAGCTCGCGTCCTTGGAGGAAGCGTGGTTTGGGGTAAACCATTATTCTCTGAGTGTGGCAGTTTGCAGAGTGGCTTTCCAGGACCTCGTTGTTGTATTGAATTTTGTGGTGTCTGTTGAATTTGCGCCAAGCTTCCTCTCGAGCACTTACGGGGGAAGCAGATGTGTTTTCCCAACGTGGAGATACATCAATCTAGTACTGTCAGTCTTGTTATATACTTAGTTAAGAGCTTCTCCGTGTTACGTTTTGTGAGAAGGTATGAGAAAACCTCCACGGCTAGCAAAGTTTGGTAGCTCTGTCCTTTATTCCTAAAGCTTTGAAGTTGTGACTCTAGGAGTTTAATCTGGTTTTCTTCCAAGTGATGCAGGCTGGCCTCTTAAAGCCGTTTTGGGACGCAGGCTCCTGGTTGATGTGTGTCTTTGCGTTTTCCTGGGTTGGGTTCAAGTCACCAGTTTAAATGGTGGGTGATGCTGAGACTGACCCGCTGGGACAGGGCACAGTGTTTGGTTGTTGTCTCTGGATGTGGTCGATAGTTGATTCTCGTTGCTCACTGCACATCCGCCAGCTGCTTCCCTTGTCCTTGATGGTAGCAGATTCTTGCGGCTTTGGTGAAATGAGCTACTGGCATGTCCTCTCCCTCCCTTCTGTCCTTCCTTCCTCCTTCCCTTCCTTCCTTCCCTCCTTTCCTCCCCGCCCCCCTTCCCTCCCCCCACTTAATTCTGGTGTCCACTCCGTGATGCTCTGCTCTGTCAGCCTGTCTCCTCAACTTCTGAGCCCAGAGGGCATCTTCCTAACAGCTCTCACTGCTGCCTGGGCTGGGGGCACGCACCTGAAGCAAATCTTTCGGACGTTTACTTCTCGTTGTTTGTTTGTTTCTCTTTCACTTTCCTTTTCTGACCTTCCGTTTCAGATGAGTCGAAGACCTAGGGATGAGCAGAAAACCCCAGGCGGGGCCTCAAGATCATCCTTTCCGATCCGTGTTTATCTACCAAGACGCAGAGTCAAAAGCAGACCTTGTCATTTGTCCTTTTCCTTATTAGTAAAACTGCCACAGTGATGTCTCCCAGACCAGATGCCATACCTTGAATCCTATATGTTTTCTCCCTTCACGGTGCACAGAAGCGTATAATATTATATTTTAAGGCCCAGGTAGCTTCAGAATAAGGAAGAGAAATGCAGACATTTCCTTTTAAAGTGAAATCCAACGGAAAGAAATGGTACCGGCGGGGGCTTCCATGAACGAACCAGGTTTCTCAGCATCCCCCATCCTTGCCAGTGGATCCTGCAGGGGGTGAGCCGTCCTGTTTTCAGAGTCCTGGGGCAAAGCCGGCCCTGGGTCATAGGGTTTCATCTTTCACGCTCATGATGGAATTTTTAACCTTCTGATTCCATAGCCCCTGGATTTTTATGGTCCATTTCCATGAAGTATTTCCTAACTCTTTCTCGGATCAGTTTTTGCCAATTATGTGAATTTCCCAGTTCGCAGCGGGTGAAAAAAAATCCACATATTTAGGCAAAACCTAAAAATCTCACGATCTTAAATTTCTGAGGTCAGTGGAGAGGTGAGTGTTGGGATCTTGACACTCTAGAATTCTTGCATCCTTGTATATCCCCGTAAGCATGGAAGTCATCGCTGCATTTTTTTTTTTTTTTTTTTTTTTTAAAAATCAACCCATCTCCTTCTTGTGCTGGCTTCTCGGGCTTCCCTGGTGGCGCAGTGGTTGAGAGTCCGCCTGCCGATGCAGGGGACACGGGTTCGTGCCCCGGTCC